GTGGCTCAAAAATGTCTTCCCTAGTCTGTCTATCCTAACGATATCCCTTCCCGCCTTTTCAACCCACCTCCTATGCCCCAGTACAGCTACCGTCCTTTGCTCTTTATTCCATGCCTCAAACATCTCCCTGTACGTCCCGTCGATTTTTCCCAGCTCAGTCACGTACACTTCCCTCTCCTTCTTGTACCACGGACATTCCGCGACTACATGAACACGGTCTTCGCATTCGAGGCCGCAATCACATGTGAACTCGTCGTCTTCGTCGTCTACCGTCCTACAACAACGACACACGAAAAAAACGCAACAACACTTGTTGTAGCAAAAAAAATACTACCAACTACAACAGCGGCACAGAAAGCGACACCAGACTGGTGCTGTATACCCCCGAGAGATAGGACGACAATAAAAAAACACATGTTGCTGTCCCGAAAGTACGATTATACCAACAACAACAACGACACACAAAATAAAAACACCAGCAGCAGCAAACACAAAAACAACAATCATAACAGTAGCAACAGCAGCAGCAACGAAGACAAAACAGAAGCACAAGGTGCAACACACATAAAAAGTATACCTCGTGGCGTTCTTCCTCTACCGATTCTTTGCCGTGCGTGCTGACTAGCTGCGCCAGAGCCTCGAGTCTTATCACAGACATCCGATCCTCGTCCTGCCACGTATCGTACAACGATAGCGAGGGAGGGGAAGGGAGGGGGGCGTTTAGAGGTCTGCAAAAGTACAAAAGTACCTGCGGAAAGTGGCCCAAAATATACTACATTTGGACATATTTCTCAACTTTCACGATGCTTCATTCGTGTGCATGATTTCGGGAATATCTGGGGCCCGGTGTTGCATATTTCGCCGGCTTGGGTGTCGGGGGAAGTGGTGAGAGATCCCAAGTTGCGTCACCCCGCACCGGACATTCTTCAGCAGAGGAGAGGAGGGATGGGGATCCTTCTCACGGCAAGGATAACACGGCACGGCAAGCCGTCTTCGCAACGCTTCAAAGGGGGTGCCGTGGAGTGTGTCCACAGCGAAGGAGAGGGGCGGAGCGGTCACGGCGGTTGCAGCAAAATACGAAGGGGACGAAATGCCGACCGCGGTTGACTCCGCAAAGAGATGGGACCCAAAATGAGGGAAGAGACAATAAATTAATCACGTCTTCGAAAAGCTTTCGACGGGACGGTTCCAACATGCCGCCATTTTCAGCACCACCACCTCGTTCTTAGCTTGGAGCAGGGCCATCGAGCCTTGAAAATCGGTCAACAGGGGGGGTGATATCCTACGTCAAATTACAGCAAAAAATACTCGACGATGCCAATATACCTCGTCGCCGTTGCTCCCGGCCGCGCCCCTCTTCTTCCCCTTCTTTGTGGGAGCGGCGGCGGCTTTCTCTGCATCCGTCTCTTNGGGGGGGGGGGGGGGGGGGGGGGGGGGGGGGGGGGGCGTACTCTTACGTTTTGCATAGCCTCAGCGGTTAGACCATTGACCACGCGTTCTCGAGAGGACGGAGCACTGTTCCCACAGGACCGATCACCGATGGACAATCGTTCCTTCCTACTTTGCCCACGGTGACTGAAAAATGTCTTTCCCTAGTTTGTCTATCCTATCGATATCACTGTGGGGGGTGGGGGGCAAGATAGAGCATGCCACAGCACGCACAGGGACATCATGAGAAGAAGGAGGCGGAGGTGAACAGGGGCTCAGCGGGGCAGGAAAGGAGAAAGGAGTGGCGCTTAACTGCTAACCTCGTCGCCACCGTCGAGCGCTGCAGCAAAAAGACAACGTTCTGTAGAATCTACCGCTGGGCTGTGTTTCTCACGTTTCGGGAAAAACAAAATCCACGAAGCCTTTGCTTTTGTTTTGTCGTGCTTGAGCGCGGGGCGGCAGTAACCCTACTGTACCTGAATACCGTCGACGAAGAATCCCATGCACTCGGTCCTCGCCGGCAGGCTAAGGTCCTCCTCGAAGATGCCCGCCTCGATGTCCATCTCGTCCGCCCTCTCGATGCTCTCCAGGTAACCGTTCGACAGCATCAGCCTCAACACGACAACAGCCTCCCTGACAAAAAAAAAAACGGCGTTTGGTATGCACCAAATATTATGCAATTTATCAAGAAAATATTTCGGGAGAGTGTTTAAATCGACAGGATCAGAGCCACCACAATCCATCGGCTAAGGACATGCACATATATCCGCAGAGATACGTAGATCAGACCATTCTTGCACGATCAGAGGAAGCCCTGATCAACAGGATTCGCAGCCTCAATACCATAGATAATGCACGCAAGACACGAACCGTGCGCATGATCAAGGAAACAGACAGGTGTTTCATTTTGCATGAGGGACGCTCATGAAGGGTGGATGTGTCGTCTATCTTGTTCTTTACCTTGTACGTCAGTTGCGAAACTCTCAGCCGCTGCTGCAACCAACCAACGAGAACTCGAACTACATGGGCACCGTCATCGTGTTTTGACATTGCTCTACAGGGTGCAGGCGTGCACGTAGAAAAACAACTATGCCTAGAACACACGAATCGTGTAACATTCGACTCGAGGAATGCCCAAACATGCACACAGATGGACAGACAAACAGACAAGACAGACAGACAACTTGGTAGCAAGGTAGCCTGGAGTCGAAGGCTACATACCTGGCTACGGTGCTGTCCACGTCTTGGATCATGGTCTTCACCCTCGAGAAAAAGTGGGCCGAGAACTTTTCCAGCCTGGCCGATGATGCCGGGTCCCTCAGAAGTCGCTGGATCGACTGCGGTACATTAGACGGAAAAAAAAAAAACACCAACGGGAATATACATTTTGAATCGAATACGCAGCAAAGATAGACAAGACCGGGGTACACAATGCCAAGCTGAAAGAGTAACAGGCACGCGAAACCGTTTGAATGCAGTCAAACCATGCAAGAAAGTAAAGAAAAACAAGCAGAATACGAAGGTGAGCAGGGCGTAATAGTCTCAAAACCAAAACCCGGAAATTCGCCTGGCAAGGCATATTCATATCTCTAGTGTCCGCTATCTTCGTTTTGTTGTACCGAGATACCGCCATCGCTAACCTCGTTCAGCCCCCACGTATTCGTAGAGTTAACCTCGCTTACAGTAGATTGGATGGGCTGCCGGTAACACGAACGGGCTTATTGTCCTGTCATCAGGACCTCCCTTACCATCAACACGAGGAGGAAAATGATGAATGTCCAATAGGGTGTCATATTTTTCGGACCAGGTGCCATCGTTGTGCATGCACACAATGAGTAAACCGTCACTCCGGTACTCGAAGGAGTCGATCACGCCTCGTTAAACGAACCATCACTACAGTACCGTGTTGAATTCGCTTGCCTCGAAGGAATGAATCCCGCCCGCCGACAGATGCAAGGGCGAAGCAAAGCTCACAACCCTTATCTCGGCTAGCTCTACAAGATGCGAAATGAACCACCATCATCGCCGTGTTGGGATTACTTTCCTTCAACATCATCAATGTACACCCTAAAAACATCCACAACCTGTCCTGAAGGAGTTGTTACCGCGGGTTCGGACCATTTTTCTCAACGGAACAAGCTTACGCACCGCTCTGCCTACAATGAATTCGAACGATCTTCCGCCAAGGACGTGCATCCCCCACAAAGCTGCAACAATGCAGAACGTCATCCAACCCTAGGGGTTAACAGAATGAAATATCACGGCAGCTTCGAATGGTATGTTTCCAGCGCAATTTATCTCACGCTGATCTCGTCTTCATTGGAATGCCTGCGCCACGTCCAACTATTCAACCGCACTGGAATGGATCGCCGTCAAAGGGTGGGAATGAATCATGGGTGGCTACTTCGAACGCCCCCAGCTGTTCAGATTGCTCTCGTAAGTATGTGGTAGTTGTATTCGAAGACATGACCCAATGGCCCACAGCATACACAAGATTTTTTCAAGTCATGATTCCACCCGCTTTAAAACGATACCAGCGCCACCTGGTACAGTATGTAGGTGGCGAACGACTAACGCTAACGTACCGCGCATGCCACAAAATATTTTTAACGGAATATATACCCCTTCGACTGAGACGAGTCCATGGTAACCCCAGGTTTGTCGAACTATACTCGACAGGTCTGTGATCACGCAACCCTATGAAGCAATTGCTGGCTTACCCTTACACTTATGCGTGAATCGAAGATAATTTTGCAAGAAAAAAAGACAAGGAAAACACGCTCTGTTACGCACAAGACCTCTCTATCGTAGAAGCGTGGTTCTGGCTGCAAGGCAGGTAGAGGTCGGCAATCAAGCAATCAGCTATACCTGCAAGGCGAGTACCCTGACGGCGGGATTCTTGTCGTTCAAGCTCCACCCGTGATACCTCATCAGCTTGTCCTGGGGGATGCGACAGCGAGCGCGACCAACAAGAGCCCAATTAACTTCCTTTGTCATTCTCGTCGTCGATTGTAGCACGGCAAAAAAAAAAAAAATGTCAGTATTTACAAGCAATTGCAAATCATACCCAAGTCAGTTTGTTTCGCGGAACCAACAACCCCTCGCTAGCTTCAAATTCACAAAAACAAATTCCAATCCTAACGCACCTCTTTCCTTTGTACACCGTAACCGTCGAGTCAATCTGTTCCGTGCCTACAGCATTACTGCAACAATCTTAGCTTCAATCACTTTCTCGTCGGGTGTTTCGGACAAAAGCCGTGGACCAAGACGGAAGACATACCACACGGCTTAACGTGACGGCCTATCAGTCGCCTCGAATCTAGGACGGCTGCAAGGCGCGTCGCCCGTTTCTCTTGTTTTCACTGTCGGGTATACTCCGTACTAAATCCTATACAATACATATTTTACAGATGTTAACATGCTTTGCTCGTAGAACGCTCACTTATCCTGCGAGATCTTCGACCCGTCTCTCTCGCTAGTTCCGTCACGACACATACGAAAAAGGAACCTACGTGTAGGTGGAATACCTGCACGTAAAACTCCGGTAGAGCCAGCATGATCTTGCTGAGGCCCTCGAGAGCGATCGAACGAATAAGCGGGGACACGTCGCGGTAGCGCTTCTGGGTGATCTTCGAGAACACCTGCCAGAACAAGAACGCCGCAAAAATAAGAAAACGAGTGGAAAACCAAGATGCTGTAATAGTGAACGAAGGGATACACACCAAAAGCAGGCTTGCTTGCCGACATACAAAACATAGGAAAGCAAAACACAATACGCGAGAGCGTTTGTTTGCCTGATTGGAGCGATGGCAGCAGGACCAGCAGCAGTGTGTATTCGTTTGTTTCCGAATGCCATGTATATATCATTCAACCCGGTGATCGGCAGAGAAAATTGCACGGCGACAACGCGCACCCGAGACGACTCTTCCTTAGCAGCTGTCGCAATAGGCAGCATACCACATATTACAGCGCGACTATCAACAGAGAAAATATCAAGGGCTGTGCTCGCAGGATATAGCCTACGTGGGTGGACTGAGCCTCATTGCATAGGCACCCACCAGATCAGACACCGTCGTGAGCGTCTCCGTGGCGCTTAAGATACGCTCCACCTGTACCAGCCAAGGATACGCATAGCACATCATCAAAGAACGGGGGGTAAAGTTGTTGTGATGCCACGTGGTAGACTTGGGGGGGGGGGGGG